AATTTGCCAAACCCAATCAATGGAAGACCCTCTCAGCCAGAGTGCAGCTACTGATCAGCAAGAAGCAGCTGTCCAGAACAGAACAGATCAAGTTCCAGTCAGCAGTATACCAGTTTGGTCAGGTGCTCAAGTGTCTGATGATCCACTACACCATCAAGACAAGTTGGTTCAACAAACCCATCATGGAGCTGCCCCACAACCACCATCATGATGTTCTCTGCAGTCTAGAGCCCAAGGTCAGAGACAAGCTCCAGCAGCATGAGCAGCATGAAATTCAAAAACTAAAAGACAGCTACATGAGAAGCCTGCAGGAATGGAAGAAGCACAGTCAAGAATCTAAATCTGAGCTTTCCAGCCAGATCTTTTTCAAGAAGTCACACATAAACTGGATCATTGCCATCTTTCCAGCCCTTCTGGATCTTATGAAGACTGAGCAACACAAGCTCAAGCTCACCAATGAGGAGATGATGAAGAACAGGTGACATGCTGGTGGAGACAAGAAGGCACCATACATTCATGCAATCAATACTCTGGCTAATTCCAGCTCCAAGTGTCATGCAATTCAACATATCCTGCAGGGCATGGGGAGAGACTATTATAGACACCCAGAGAAGATTGTTATTCTGACAGAATTCTCCTGTGTGGTTCATATGCTTGAGGTGGTAGATTACTGTGTCTCCTTTCCTTGTGTTTTCTTCTCCAGCTAACTTTCCATACAGTGGCTGCAGAAGCAAGACTACTGTGTCACAGCAGTCTATAGCAGTATGAGTGTTGAGAACCAAGACATGTGCATCAATGCCTTCAATCAGGACCTGCCACTGTCTGAAGGTGAGACTGATGCCAGTCCAGGCATTCTGATCAGCATTCTGGAAATTCTAGGTGTGGGCTACACCTGTGTTCATGCCTTCCAACTTATCCTGCTGAGCCTGAGCTGGTTGGAGAGGGATAAGATCCAGGGCAAGACATGCATCCACTGCTACAGACAGATGAACAAGGCCACATACATCTACCACCTGGTGTGCAGAGATGTCCAGGTCAAAAGCAACATTCTTGACCAGCAGGCAATGCAGAAGAGTTTTAATGAACTGGTAATGTTGCTGCAGAGAGAGGCTGGCATAGTTCAAGACATGATTGATCTGGATACAGTATGAGGCCTGGCATGGCTGTGTGGCCATGAAATTTAAAAAGAAACACCCAAGAACCATGCAGTGCTTCTGTCAAGATGCCTGGGTATTATTAGAGATATATGGAACAATCATGACTGTTTGTTCTAGATGATTCATTCTGCAGAGTTGAATAGATTAGTAGTTAGGTCCAATCAAAGCAATTTCAGCTGAAAGCTATCCATCATATCTCCCACCATAGTCATGTTGATGCTGAATACTTAGCAGTCAGATGCACTAATGAGCCTTCAGCCTGGTGATGGTGCAACCAGCTAATATTAGCACCCTATCAAATTCATGCCAGCATATCCTCTGATGCCATCAACTGTTGATATGGTGCCTGTGGCCTTTTATTCAAGGAGGAGAATCCCCTCACCCAGAGATGTGTATGATGTGTCATGACATGCCAATGCTGAGTCTCTTTTCCCAGTCTGGAGCTTGAGATGCTGCTGAAGCTCCACAGTCTTTGAGCATGGTGTGGCAGAATATCTGAACATGTTTGATTTGGGTTGCTTATAGTGATACTGGCTCTCCCCAATCAATTCTAACCACCAACATTGGCCACCAACAATAGCTAATGCCAATATCAACCAGAATACAGTTTCTCCAAAGAATGAGGCTACAGACTATTGGCTGTGAGTGTTGAGCACCAATTTCTACCATTAACTTTCATTGTTGTCAATTTTGACTGCCAGTTTTCAATGAGCTGAACCTGTTGTGGATGCACAAGATGTGTTTTAACCATTGAGTTTGGCTGTCAAGTTTCACTGTTGTCAGTCATGGCTGCTGATTTTGACTGTTGTCAATTGTGGCTGCTGTCAATTTTGACTGTCAATTTTTACCATCATCAATTTTTACTGTCAATTTTTACTGTCATCAATTTTGACCATCAATTTTTACTGTCAATTTTGGTGTTGTCAATTTTGACCGCCATGACCAATTTTGGCTGGTGTCAATTTTGGTGTTGTCAATTTTGGCATCATCAATTTTGACCGCCGTGACCAATTTTGGCTGGCGTCAATTTTGGTGTTGTCAATTTTGACTGTCAATTTTGGTGTTGTCAATTTTTACTGTCAATTTTTACCATCATCAATTTTGACTGTCAATTTTGACCATCAATTTTTACTGTCAATTTTGGCGTCATCAATTTTGACCGCCGTGACCAATTTTGGCTGGCGTCAATTTTGGTGTTGTCAATTTTGACTGTCAATTTTGGTGTTGTCAATTTTGACTGTCAATTTTTACTGTCAATTTTTACTGTTGTTAATTTTGACCATCAATTTTTACTGTCAATTTTTACCGTCAATTTTCACCATCAATTTTGGCTGTTGTCAATTTTGACTGTCAATTTTGGTGTCATCAATTTTGGCATCATCAATTTTGACCATCAATTTTTACTGTTGTCAATTTTGGCATCATCAATTTTTACTGTCATCAATTTTCACTGTCAATTGTGGCTGCTGTCAATTTTGACTGTCAATTTTTACCATCATCAATTTTGACTGTTAATTTTTACTGTTGTCAATTTTTACTGTCAATTTTTACCATTGTCAATTTTGACTGTCAATTTTTACTGTCAATTTTGGCGTCATCAATTTTGACTGCCATGACCAATTTTGGCTGGTGTCAATTTTGGTGTTGTCAATTTTGACTGTCAATTTTGACCATCAATTTTTACTGTCAATTTTGGTGTCGTCAATTTTCACCATCAATTTTGGCTGTCATCAATTTTGACTGTCAATTTTGGTGTCATCAATTTTGGCATTGTCAATTTTGACTGTCAATTTTTACTGTTGTCAATTTTGGCGTTGTCAATTTTTACTGTTGTCAATTTTCACCATCAATTATGGCTGCTGTCAATTTTGACTGTCAATTTTTACTGTCATCAATTTTGACCATCAATTTTTACCATCATCAATTTTTACTGTCAATTTTTACCATCATCAATTTTGACCATCAATTTTTACTGTCAATTTTGGTGTTGTCAATTTTGACTGCTGTGACCAATTTTGGCTGGCGTCAATTTTGGTGTTGTCAATTTTGACTGTCAATTTTAGTGTTGTCAATTTTGACCATCAATTTTTACTGTCATCAATTTTTACTGTCAATTTTTACTGTCAATTTTGACTGTCAATTTTTACCATCATCAATTTTTACTGTCAATTTTTACCATCATCAATTTTGACTGTCAATTTTGACTCGTCAATTTTTACTGTCATCAATTTTCACTGTCAATTGTGGCGTCGTCAATTTTGACTGCCGTGACCAATTTTGGCTGGTGTCAATTTTGGTGTTGTCAATTTTGGCATCATCAATTTTGACCGCCGTGACCAATTTTGGCTGGCGTCAATTTTGGTGTTGTCAATTTTGACTGTCAATTTTAGTGTTGTCAATTTTGACCATCAATTTTTACTGTTGTCAATTTTTACTGTCAATTTTGACTGTCAATTTTGACTCATCAATTTTTACCATCATCAATTTTGACTGTCAATTTTGGCATCATCAATTTTTACTGTCATCAATTTTCACTGTCAATTGTGGCTGCTGTCAATTTTGACTGTCAATTTTTACCATCATCAATTTTGACTGTCAATTTTTACCATCATCAATTTTTACTGTCAATTTTTACCATTGTCAATTTTGACTGTCAATTTTTACTGTCAATTTTGGCGTCATCAATTTTGACCGCCATGACCAATTTTGGCTGGCGTCAATTTTGGTGTTGTCAATTTTGACTGTCAATTTTGACTGTCAATTTTACTGTCAATTTTGGCGTCGTCAATTTTCACCATCAATTTTGGCTGTCATCAATTTTGACTGTCAATTTTGGTGTTGTCAATTTTGGCATCATCAATTTTGACCATCAATTTTTACTGTTGTCAATTTTGGTGTTGTCAATTTTTACTGTTGTCAATTTTCACCATCAATTGTGGCTGCTGTCAATTTTGACTGTCAATTTTTACTGTCATCAATTTTGACCATCAATTTTTACCATCATCAATTTTTACTGTCAATTTTTACCATCATCAATTTTGACCATCAATTTTTACTGTCAATTTTGGTGTTGTCAATTTTGACCACCATGACCAATTTTGGCTGGTGTCAATTTTGGTGTTGTCAATTTTGACTGTCAATTTTAGTGTTGTCAATTTTGACCATCAATTTTTACTGTTGTCAATTTTTACTGTCAATTTTTACTGTCAATTTTGACTGTCAATTTTTACCATCATCAATTTTTACTGTCAATTTTTACCATCATCAATTTTGACCATCAATTTTGACTCGTCAATTTTTACTGTCAATTTTGGCGTTGTCAATTTTGACCGTCAATTTTTACTGTCAATTTTGACTGTCATCAATTTTCACTGTCAATTTTGGCGTCATCAATTTTGGCTGTTGTCCATTTTGACTGCTGGTTTTCATCTGCAAACATTGACTGCAAGATGGATCCTCTGAATTGGGTGACAGAAGTCTGGATTTTATCATTTGCATGTCTTCTCTTCTATAGATCTGTTCTCTTCAGCTTTCCTTGTATTATCTTGAATCTGCTACAGTGTCTTCTTTTACTCTCATTCTGATGTTTTCAGCATGATATTTTCTGCTACTGTGATTTGCTAATGGATGCATATAATCCAAGCCAGAATTGCCAAATTTTATGCAGCATGTCCAGCAGTGGCTTCACAGGCAAAGTATCTGATCAGCTTGGAACAACTATTTTCCTAAGTCAGCTCAATAGGCTGCTTCCCTTCTGCCATGCTGCATATGAAATCTTTCCCCAACCACCTCATTGGGTCCATAACACTTGTCCAACCATGCTAGGATGCCTGGAAGCTATTCTCATTCTTGTTGTCTTAGCCACTCTTGTGCAATTGATTTCAGGTGCCAGTCACCTAGGTGAATCTGACAGTAGTCATCCAGTACTGGATCACCTCTCCTGTGGTCAAATGTTAGTTTACAAGACCAGACTGCCCCATACAGAAGGCCACTGCATACCTCATAAGGCCAATCTTCACATTTTGCATCCAATCCTTAAGGTCCACCTGTGTACAGTTCCACAGCCTGGGCTCAGGCATATCCTTGTCCAGCTCTTTGATCAAAGCCCAGTTGTTGCTGTGCCTCTCCCACAGCTGCACCAGTCTTGTGGTCTCTTTGGCAGACCATCTTGTTCAGATGCATGGCCATCTGCAATGCCTGCTTCTGTGATTTGCTCTCCTTTCTATCATCTTCTCCACACACCTGATCTCCCTCTGCTGTCTACAAAGCAAGTGTTCTCTTGAACCCCTCTGTACTGAGTTATTAATGTGATTCCATCCATCCAGATCCACATCCAGGTCTAAAGTCAATGTCAAGTATGCTGCCAATGAATCAATTGTGCTTGATTGTTGATGATGGTTTCTGAGATAGCTGGTGTCAGCATCAGAAGAGTTGTCAGTCAAGCAGAAGGACTGTTCCCATATCTCTTGCTCTCTCTCTGGTGTCTGGGTTGATGTTGACACTTGAGGGCTGCTGAGCAAGAGTCTTGATTGTTTCTGAAAGCAGCTGTCCTTCAAGGCTGGGCTCTGGCTCAATCTAGATGCTTTTCCTTTTCTATCCTCTGGACAGATCACCTCTGAGTGCCTGTCACTTGCCTGATGTGAAATGGAATCCTTAGAAGCCAAAACCTCTTCTGGTGTTACTGATCAAGAGCTAGATAGCCATCAGTTCTGGCTTTTCAGATTGGGCTTGCTGTTGTATGATGTACATGCAGGAACATCCATGGGACTTGAAAATAGCATACTCTCATTGGAAGAAGTGGTTTGGGCAAGACCTTTATCCAGAACCACCTGTTAATGGATGGTATACACAGGACCATAAGATTCAGGGCTGCCACTCACCACCTAGAGGCATGTTGCTTGACAGGGAACTGTTCAACAGTGGGCATCAACTGCTTCCTGCCATTACTGATGGCAGGGACTGGGGCTGATTTGATGTCCTTCTTGCTTTTCTTCTTTGAAGTACAGTGAAAGCACTGGGGAGATGTAGCTCTGTCTCTGTACTGAGAGATTGTGGCCAGGTGCTGGAATGTCTCTGAGCTATCATGATTGATGACAATCTGTTCAACAACTGGAAGGACAGAAAAGAGAAGAGAAGAGACCTGGATAAAGCCTCAGACTATTAAAGAGATAACCTGAGGTGGTTGTGATAAAGCAATGAAGAAAACAGAGCTTTATTTTGTAGGCTCAAAGTTGGCAGAAGAAAGAGGCTGACATTTTTAATAAATTTATAGGCTTGGGATGATCAGAAGAGTGGCATTTCTGATCTATCACAAATATTCATTTCACCCAGTAAGCCAAGCCAAAATCTCACCATCTCAAGACTCTGGCTCAGACACTTCAGATTCAATGTTATCCCAGCATATCCTCTGCAATTTCTCCACACAGCAAGCACATTGGTCAAAACCACTCCAGTCAGCATGGGCTGTGGGCAGCCACACAAGTATGTAACTGAGAGAGACACAGTTCAGGCATGAGTGCAAGCATATTGAAGATGACAACAGCAGCAGCAAGCAGTCACATCAGCAAGCACATCAATATTGTTCCAGAATATCTTCTTGACCTGCAATCCCCAAAGTGGGGCCAGTCTTTTCCAGCCTGTTGAGAATTCACCCTATATATTTGTGGATCTACAGGAAGCTCTTGATGCAGTATCTGTTGAGTATAGAAGCTCTAAGCCACCAGACATAATTGAAGAAGGATTGCTTGAGTCTGAGTCTGATAAAATAGAGCACAAGAGCCCTCCATCACCAGCAGAATCCAGCAGCAGTAAGAATGATCAGTTGTCCACAACAGAATAAGGTGATTAAGCATTTTAAACCTCTAACTACATTCTAGATCCAGCACCACTGCTAATGTCTTCAGGCCTGTCCAGCCCCAGTACACCAGGACCAAGATCAGACCATGGACTCTTCCTGCCCACAAATACAGTGGAATCAACAGAAGAAGACAACATACTTGCACAGGAGCTGATGGCACAGCTGCAGACCCATCATGGGTGCTCTACTGAGACTCATGCTGCATCAGAGCCACTCTCCATGCCAACAGTGTCTCTCTTACAGATGGCAAGCTGGGAATGTCCAGATATCTTAGAGCACACCAGCATGTCTTCCTATCTCATACAGTGGAACACCATCCTGCCAGTTCATCAGCACCAAAGGCTATACAGTGGGATGTGTGCATCAGTGAAGTCTTTAGCCCATGAGAAAGTACCTCCACACCCCACAACCATTGATCTGGAAGGTGATACCATCCCAATGCCAGCATCCCTGCATGCCATGATTAACATTGATAGTGCTGGTGGTCTGGCCTCAAGTCTTGCAGTGGCCCATGAGAGATTCCAATGAAAAGCCAACTGGTCCCTGACAAGCAATCTGAAGAGTTCTCTTCACCTGGATTCTATTTCAGTTCAGTGGAGAGATGAGCAGACTGAAAGAGTCTGCCAGTCCCAGAGACCAGTTCACCAGATCTCTCACCTTCCATTTGGACAACTGGTTGGATTCCCTGAGATTGAGATCTACATTCTCTTCCTCTGGCTTTTCAGCTCCCAGCACCAGCACCACATCATCACAGAGCAGAAGTATGCTCTCTGGACAGACAAGATCTTCCTCCCAGCCCTCCACCATGTTTACTCTGCATCCACACTTCTCCACCTGCCATCCAGTGCCATGCATATCCAGCTCAGTTCCACCACAGCTTGGGCAGAAGGCCACAATCAGACTTTCCATAAGCAGCCACAGGTGCAGGAGTTCCACTTTTCACTACAGCCAGCAGGACTTCACCATCTCTGGGAGCATGTGCAGACAACCATTCAAGACCCAGAGCTTCAGCACTTTCAGGGACTCACACTTCTTCTGACTGCTAAGAATCTGAAGCTCTCAACCCAGCATGTCACCTGGTCCAGCATGCATGATGCCTTCTTTTGCACATGGAATCAGGCTGTGGATGGGTGCTATCTGATCACCAGCTTCTACAATATTGGCAAGAAGGTGGTCTTGCCCTGGAGCTTTCTGTTGCACCAGGAGCCAATACATGTGCCCTGCACATTCATCTGGCAACATTGCTGCCTGAATTGTTTCTGTGAATGGCTGAGAGATTCACCAGCTGCACAAAGAATCTCTTCTCCCACTTCATCTGAGCCTGATAGCTCACCAGATAATTCAATAGAGATGCAGATCAACAATGACCACCCAGCAGCAGCTGTTCAGCTCCAACAGTCTTGCCAACTTTACAGCCATGTCCAGCAAAGAGTGACATCCAAGGCCTCAGACTCCAGCCACATCCAACACCAGTTAGTGGAGCCAGCATGCAGGAGTGAGGATGAAGATGCATACCAGCCAGAGCTCAGTGAGAGCAGTAAAGATGAAGATGAAGAGGGTACCAGCAATCTGGGTGAACATTCAGCAGATGATGCACCAGTTGTCAATGCCCAGGCTCCTGATTCAGAACATGAACATCCACAGGAAGGGTCCTGGCACAAGCAGTTCTATCCACTGTCATTCCTGTATGATCTGGGGTCCATGATACTAGAGCCGCACTGGTGCTCCCCACTTCACCACCAGGGTCTGCTCTACTGCCAGTTCTACAACACCATCAAGAAAATCTTTGCAGCCAGTCAGCATTCCCTGTTTGCAAATGAGAACCTGGACACATTGGCTCTGGATTCTGGGCTGGTACAGACCTGGCAGTATATTGAAAAGGCCATCAGCCATTCCCCTCTGGCCTTGCTGCATGTGTACATCCACACCAAGCAACAGTGCCATGTCACCATTTCTGACTGCCACCAGCAGTCCTACAGGACTCAGGAGGAGTACTGGATCACTGCTGCTGTCCTGCAGACCATGAACTGAATTCTTCAGGAAAGTGATCTAGCCAATCATCCTACAGTTGTGCCCCAATGCCCAGTACTCTTTCTCAACTATCACACCAATTAGCTTCTGGGGTGGCTGCAGTGAAACATCAACAAGCTGTGCACTGGGTTTGAGATGATCTACAGCCTGCAGCTGTGCACTATGGTGCACTGGAAACACACTCAGATAATAATAATGTTTCTTCAATGCCTCCTGTGCACATATGGAGGCCAGAGCAACCATCTCAGCTGCAGCAATGGCCTGTGGCTTAATCACCAGGTGCAATCACCTCCAGAGAGTTCTGACACAGAGCAGATTCAGAAGGGCCTTGGGATGGCATCCACACTGGAGCTGTATGGCTATGCCTGGTTTCTTGACAAGCTTGACTGGATGGCCATGACATTCAAGCCACCACATCAGGCACACATGATCTTCAACACCCCAACCCTACAGATGGCCTACCACCAGCAGTACCAGCAACTGATCAAGTCCAAGTCTGACTTTGTGTTCTTCCATGATGTATTCAGCTGCATGTTGGATGTCCATCTAGACTCCACCTGCTCTGCACTGCTGCTGCAGCTGCTGGTGACCCTCTGCCTGAGGGCCTTCCAGAAGAATATCTTCAGAAGCCTGGCTGACTGTATCACCCAACAGCTACTTCATTCCACTAGACTTGAGAATGCATGCAATAGTGAAATTCCACTCACCTGTGCTGGTATCTCACAAATCTTTCAACATTCCTACTTTTGAAAAGACATCCAGTTCATCACAGACTCCAGAATGAAAGTCAGGAACATTAAGATGCTCTTTACATAGCTCTGGAGCTGGAACAGCAATGGGAATGGTAACTGGCTGCATAAACACTGGGAGTCAAAGCAGTACCAGATTCTCTTCCACCAGTCTTTTAATGTCATTGTCAGCATGTATGGAACTCAGCAGACCTGTAAGTAGCAGACAATTGTGAAGCAGACCTTCATCCACAGCCACTGGATCTTGCTCTATTCAAGTACAGCAGTCTTCTGGACACATGGAAAGGGAGAGAAACTGTGAAGCTGGGCTAGCACCCATCCAGGACTGGTCAACTACCTTCAGCAGTATCAGCCAGAACTCACCATTATTGAGCTGAACATGATTAATGAGCTGCCCCTGGCAGGTTGGAAGGCTGGTGGTCAACCTTTGCCTCTGAATGTGGCTCTTCTCTCAGTCCCCAGTAATCTTGATGCCTGGCTTGCCATTGAACAGAGTCAATATTCTGTTCCTGCAGCAATGTCTCCCAATCCAGAAGTCTTTTTGCTGGCTGCTGGTGTGCATTCCAGTGAGCTGAGCTGCCATCTTCAGGATACTGTGGCTGAACATCATGTTCTACACTCATTCACACAGAAAGAGAGTGAATCTGCAAGCCAGCTGCATACCAACTGCAAGTGACTTACATCCCAGCTTGTGTTGCACATCCAGGCTCTTGTTGAGACAGAGAGGCAGCAGGTCCAGAGCATGGATCTTTCAAGAGCAACTTAATCTTGACAGTCTCACTCTCAGCCCCAGCCCAACAGCAATCTGACACTGCTTGGGCCCAGAGTGACCAGAATGAATCTTGAAGAGAATTCTGACCCAGAAAGCCTGATGAGAAAGCAGGAAAAATATGCACAGCATCAGAGACATATACAGCAGCAGTTGAAAGTTGCACAGATAGAGGCCTTCTATTACAATCAGTACAGAACTGCCATAAAGGCATATCAGTGCAAAGCTGCAGGAAGAGACCAAACAGCACAAGTGCTCAATCAGTCTGAGTTTAAGAAAGCATGGATACAAAGTCAAAAGACCATTGAGCATTTAGCTCAAGTGTCTCAGCAGATCACTCATCATGAAAAAGAAAAAGTATAGTTGTGACAGCACTGGCTTCTTAAGTCAGTTTTGACTGTCAATTTTCACCATCAATTTTAGTTGTTAATTTTTGACTGTCAAATTTTACTGTTATCAATTTTGACTGTCAATTTTTACCATTGTC